CTAAATAATTTCTATTCAGTCCAACCTCTTATCGCGCCACAGAGATTCTTTGATAATTGTATTTGTTTCCTCTTCTTTTTAAACACATAACAATGATATACATAATATAATTACATTTCGTTCACCACGCGCCGAATTTAATTAAATTCCCAAGACTACAATTCACTTCTTGTACACACTAATGAAAATAAAATTGTCATCGTCCCCCTCTCGGGTATTTTCCCTCCTGTTCGGATATGCTTTTAAACAAATTGACACTGCCTCTATTTGCAATGAAATAATATGAAAAATGATGTTTAATTGAAATATACACAGCCAGCGAACAAAAAAAATCAACTAATGACTGCTCATTTGGCATTGAATTGAATTCAGCGAGCTTAAAAAAAATGACAAGTGTGTTACAAAAACTTATGACGAATGGTTTTAAGGGCGTGTAGTCAGGGTCGTGACGAAAGACTGATCAAATACAATGGCATTGAACGAGACCAAGGCCCTTCGTCACTATTATTTTTTCTTCTATCAGTATTGTTCAATCGACGTCAGCTGTGTGTTCAATCATGCCACGCACTCTGTATCAAGGACTCGCCAAGCAGGCGGGCTGGCACAACCTTCGCCAGACGTTGACCCGGGTTGAGATCTCCCGGAAGAGAATATCATTGACTATGTTTCCGGTTCGAAGACTGATTAGCCTTGTCAACTCTTCACGCGATGAATTTCAATGGATTGAACACTACCGCTGAATTTAATGCGCGTTTCAGGGATTCTTTGGAAATTTTCGGTACACTGAGAGAAAAAGCTAGCAAGTGCTCAAGCGGGTCCGGTTTAGGCAAAAAACATCGGTAGTTGGAAATTACTAAAAAGAAATTGTTCGAATTGAATTTGAAAGTCTCAAAGATTAATAATTGCTCTGCTTTCAACAACAATGAAATATTTGGCTCAAGAGGCGGATCATTCACCAGATTACGAAATATTTTGTCCCTTCGGTTATCATTGAAGAGTCAAAACGAAAAAATACTCTCCGTATGGGAGTATTAAATAATGAAGAAATGCTAGAAACATTGCTGGTTTAAACAGAGGACGTCAATTTTTAGGAACTACTAAATCCATTTTTGTGACCAAAATTCTCCCTCTCGGGACAGTATTCAAGAAGGCAGCACTAGATTTTTTATGTCGCGCCGTGCAATAAGTCGAGTTTATCGCACGCTGCCTGCTTAAAACTCGACTTCTGCACGACTTGACATAAAATATTATAGAGCACTCGGTTTCGTTTTCAACGAATGTGTAGTTAACAGGCCGAGCCGAAGGCGAGGTCTGTACACACATTCGTTGAAAACGAAATTTGTGCCCTTGTACTCTAATGTACTATTTTTGTTTAAACAAGACTTGCTTGAGAAAATATTTTTTCCCTCAGTGTACGGATAATCATCTTAATCGGGTATTAATACAAGAGAATTTTCCAGCCGAAATAATTTGATATCGTGGTGTGAACTCGACCCCATGAACCCGAAATGTCAAGCACGTGTTGGCGATTCATAATTCGTGTATTTTACCCTATCTGCGTATGTTTGTCACCTAATACCCGTGATCAATCGATTACGCGGGGCTTAAAGCCTGCAATTGAATTTCCTCCTCATGTTTCTCTCATCCTCTTCATTTCAAATTCCACTCTGGAAATTTATATGAAAATTTAAATGAAATGATAGTTTCGAGCTCGTGATGAATGAGCCCCGTTTTCCAGAACGAAGGTGTGCAATGACAGAAAATCCAGGGTAAATTGGTTACATTGAGGACTGTCATATCTCCAAGCATAATGCGAGCGTTGATGATATTACCGAATAATTAGTGGATCAATTTATTCCCGTAATTTAATCACCTCGTTTCAAAGCTGAAATTCACTACTAAATTAAGTGAGGAGTATTTCTAGGCAAACTTGAGAACTTGTAATTTTTCACTTCTTCGAAGTATTCACTGATGACTAATTATGGAAATGAGCTTGTTAAGAACCGTTGCATAAAGATGTTGAAGCTAAACTCATGTGTCCCATTCAATCCCAGATTTTTTAATCAAGATAAAAAATTATAATTCCAGGTTTCAAACAATAGTATTCGCACAGATAAAATTACCGTGAAACTCGACTTAGAGATTCCCATTGAAACGCCAATCCATCATCATACACTGGTAGAAATTTTATGAAAATTAAATTTTAATTCAATTTAAGATCAAATCGTTCATGGAAACGGTTATTACATTGGCAGAACTTCAGAAGTAATTTCTAACAGTGTGGACTCAGCCGTTGCCTCCAAATGGAAAAAAGCAAAAACAAACTGCATGAACCAACGTAAGATGTCGTACGATATAAACGTTGCGCACGCAATTGCGTCAATCGAGTGTGTTCGACATATGGTCAACTTATCGCTCGAATAAAAACACCCCCAGAGGCGTGCGTACTAAACAAATATTTGCAATCGTCGAACTATCGGACAGAGTTTATTAACACGACTGTGTTGAAATGCGCCAGAGCTGAAAAATATAAAAAGACAAAAATTTGTTTACAAATGGCGGCTTGATGAGCGCTCGCTCACTATTATTTTCAAAGCGATTGAACCAATATGGTTTAACAAGCATTCGCGCAAATATTGACTCATCATTGGAAGTTGATGAGGATGAAGATGAAATAAAAAAGGGAAAATTATTCTGGAAAATACTCATCAAACAATTTGTCAGAATTAATTTCAATCAATTCAACAACTCCGCGTGATCAACTTCACTCATTCCTCTTGTTTTTTTTTTTCGTCACAACTTTGACCGACAGAACGGCTGAGAGGGATTCTTGGTAAATGTAATTCGATGCAGCGAGAGATGGATAAAAGCGACCTTGGTATATTACACACGTTATCAGCGAGTCTATTTGCTTCTGTTATTTCTCATTCACTTCTGGCATCGAGACATCAAGGTAAAAATACAATGAGACTGGTGGAAAATCGTTGGCCCGTCTGTATCACCTTATCCCCAATTCCTTTAATCCTGAGGCCACAGCTGTTTCCAACTGTAACCACGGATAAATGAAACTGCGAGGTTCTTTGCTCAAACAATCCCATCGCTTCTCCAACAGAGAAGTCATCACTGAGAAATCGATTAATTGCACAGTCTCAGGTTGAACTTTATGCAGTTTCCCTAGAACCAGTATTTGATTATCCGAGAACAATGTCTGACTTCGATTACTGGAGTTTTCGCAAGCAAATTATCCGTCGCTTTTATTTACAGAGGCAGATCGATAGTGGCAAAGTGTGAAACTATTGATATTTATGCAAGCGAATTTGAATATAAACTCAACTCCAGACAAAAGAGTCGACTTTCATAATCACTACACAGTTAGACAACTAAACTTCCCTGCTATACAGTACATAACCCCGTTAGTTCATAACAACTATTCCCGTAAATTTCTATTTGCGGACCGAATTCATCCTTTAGTTGACTAGTGTGATAAACGAACTCGATGTAAACATCTCATAACAGATAATTGCTTTCTAGTATTAATTTTTTTCTAGCATATGATCATCCGAGAACAAGGTGTAATGTTCCAATAATTGTAATGATCTCTTCGATTAATGGAATTAATTTTTGTTGGTAGTTTTCGCAAGCAAATTATCCGTCGCTTTCATTTTCAAACGCAGATCGATAGTGGGGAAGTGGGAAGCTATTCGTCTTTATGCAACCGCACACCCAAACTCCTCTTCTATTCAGGACACAACCCCGTGAGTTCATAGCAATTATTTCAGTAAATCTATTTGCGAACTGAATTCATCCTTTAGTTGACTTCAGTGCTATAAGGCTTAATATAGTATACAGTATAGTATAAGCGAACTCGATGTAAGCATCTTATGACAGAGGTAATTGCTTTCTTTGAATGTCTCAAGAGACAAAGGACACGTGCCAACCGCAGGCTTTATGGATAATTATAACCCGTCCAATATTGCCCAACTGAAATTGCCATTAAATTCTCGTGAAAAGTTGACAATGAGCCGTGACACAATATTACATTTTTTTTTCCTCCTTTATGTTCGCTCGACTTTATGACCAACAGGACGGAAGGGACGAAAGGTAACACAGAAGACAAGTTTTTACCCTGCTACAAGGGGCTCGTCTACTCGACTCGACCGAAATACCTAGCGCTCAGCACTATTGATTGAACAAACTGGGTGGAAGAACACACCAGCATGGATAATTAAATTAGCCGGGTCGATGGAAAACGCTTTTAGAAAGCAGATTATTGCAGGCTCGATATCCACTAACTTTTAAAAATATTGCCACTCGTCTCTCACGAAGACAAGTGCAAATATTTCACATTTATGAGCCCATTATGTCATGAATAAAATATACACTGCACAGAGCCAGAATTGAGAATAGATATCTTTATCTGACATTTTCCACTGACATCTATTCTTGAGAATTACCAGACAATCTTGATCAATCGAAATATCTGACATGTCCTTTTCCACTGATCAACATTTCTAAGAATAGAAATTAAACTTTCACGCAGAATAGAATCAACTCTTCAAATATTCAACTGTTAATTGATTTTTTTTTTCGTCGCGTGTTCTCTTTCTCTCTCTTTTATAAATTTACACCAGCTTAATCGCAATATGGGAATAAAAAATGAAGGAAAGAGAAGACCCAAGTGAAATAAAAACGAAACATCTGACATTTTCCACTGACATCTATTCTTACTTGAGAATTACCAGATAATCTTGTTCAATCGAAACATCTGAAATGTCCTTTTCCACTGATAAACACTTCTAAAAATAGAAATTAAACTTCTGTACAGACTGGAATTAACTCTTTAAATATTCAACTGATAATTGATTTTGTGTTTTTGTTTCATCGCGTGTTCTCTCTCTCTCTCTCTCTCTCGTATACATTTATACCAGCTTAATCGCAACATTGAAACAAAAAACGAAGGAAAAAAGAGGAGGCTCTAATGAAATGATGAAACAAGAAACTAATTACTGAGCTGGAGACATTTAATTATGAAAACTTCAGTTATCTACAGAAAACGAATAAAGAGGCACTCGACGGTGCCGCGCAATAATACATACGCGTGGTTGACATTAAATGGATGTTTCACTCTTTTTTTTCCAAAGATTTTTCTTTTTAATTTCTCTTCAATCAGCTCCATATTATCCCTTTTCTATAAATAGACAAAACAACATTGACACACGGCTAGCATTGCCTCAAATAACCGAGTGATTGTTTATCTCGCCTGTAAAGCAGGCCGTCTCCCCACCGTATCCCCTGCAGATTATGACCTCTGAGATAAACATCTGATTGCACAAAAGAAGCTCAAAATCAACGACCAAAAAAATACTAAAACAATAAAATCACAATTTTAATCGAGACAACACAAGCCATGCTTTATCGAGAATATATATTTCTTTAATTTATATTTAATATGTATAATATCTCTGCTCAATACGCACGAATAGAACCTAAATTTAAACATTTTTCCCTCTTTTATACGGATGTGTATGTATAAAACACAGAAACAATGTACAATAGCGCGAAAAAATTGAATCGTTTCACTTACGTAATCGTACAATTTTATATGTTTTCAGTTACGACCAGATACAGCTCTACGATGAACTGACCGAGTTATATTTAAGGAGGGGAGAGACGGACACTAACGGATATCCCAGTGCGAAAACGCAGAGACAATTAACGTAAATCATTATCCCTATTTTTGTATTTTCTCCATCAGTGTTTTACATCCTAATACACCGTAAAAGAGCGCTGAGTGGACGCCCAGTAATATGCCTTCATTAAGTTATATATAATCGTATTTACAAAAATTTTGAAACTGGTTGCATACCCTCACCTTTGTTTCAATGATTATCTCACCGAGATTACACCGAGCGGATATTGTATTTTCAATGTTTACATTTTTCTATTTAGTTTTAAAAGTATTTTCCTTCACCACGGCCAAAATAAAAGATACATCAATACAAGCAACGAGTTATCAAGACTCTCTTCTTCACCTGGACTTTATCTGGTTCATTTATTGTTGAAAAAGGATTGAAGTGAATCGATTGTTTGGTTATTATTGTATTGCACCCACCCCGAGAGTCACCACTCGTTTTCACACCCGTATTTTTCTCAAATCGTTATGGACATCAAAGTGGAAAATGGAAAAGACGAGTTGACATCAATTTCGGTAATTTTCTTATTCACTCACTACCCGCTGATATTATCCACTCGATGGCATTTGCATTAGCCTAGCTCGATCACTCAAATGACAAATTAAAAGAAACAAGTTTTGACTATTTAATCAACTGACCAGAGGCACAGGAGCAACAAGTTCTTCATAGTGAAATTTATGAAAAAAAAACGTTTTATACATTCTATAATTAAACCGCTGATCCTCTACCTCTGCTAAACGCGGAGAGATTCGATTTGCCGAGGGGAGAGTTGCGTAATAAAGCTGTTATTTTTCAGACCCATTCCATATCACAATCAAATACTGCCTGAATCACAATTCCATAGAGTTTCGAGAAGAAAAAATCATGTTTAGTAATGACTTGCTCCTATTGTTAACAGTCAAGGTTACTAGATAAGGATACTGCGCCTCATCAGCGCAGTGATTCATCTCTAGATCCACGAAATCAATGATAATGAATTGAGACTTCCAAATTATATTGCAAGCGCAGTTTCTCTCCCTCGTTTAAAAAAATAAATTAAAGCGACAATAAATAGTTAAACACGAGTCTTTATGTAATTTTTTAGTACTCAAGGTGTGAGAGACGCGCACGTCTGTGTCCCATGTATTGGTGTTTGTATCCAAACTCGTTTATTACACCGAAAAAAAAGCCTGCGAACCGCCGAGACCCGCTAATGTTGATCTTAAAATAACGGCATGGGGATAACCCGGTATTTCTAGATTGTATGTACAATGGGTGCCAAGTTATTTTGTCAGGCCAGCCCTCCTTCATTATAATACTCTGCCAAAGTACTGTCTCTCTACTTCCCTTTCGCCTTGCAAAGAAAAAACAAAGAGACAATTTCATATTTCCATTTGAAACCGACAATAATTTTTCGAGGAAAGAAAAAATACATGAGATTGCGCGATTACTCTTAATATTGGGCAGAGAACCAGAGACGAAATGGCATATATGCGTTCCTGAGGTAGGGAGAAAGATACACTAGTTATACAGACGTTATCTAAAACGAGAAGTTACTTCTCTTCAATTTTTTTTTTGTTACTCTATCACACAACACTCGGGAATTTCGCTCAATTACCGTTATCCATTCTCTGTCCGCTGTAATTATAGTAATAAAATTACGACCATTCACATTCATGTTGAACAATGACTTCATTAAAATAATCTTCATAGCGTTTGCTTCGAGACCTGTAGATTGCATTTGTTAATGTCGAGGACGAGACCTATAACTAGTCTTGTGACAATGCCCTGGATATACAATTCTTATCATTCTCTCGGTTCATCATTTATGGAATTTCTATGACGTCTGATTAAACGAAAATTAACGCTACAGTCACAGCATTCGATCACTGATGAAATAACGTTTTTAAATGACTCTTTTAAATAAAAAGTTCACTAGAGGGATATTATTTTCACTTACAAAGCTGGAAAATATAGCATTCACTACCACTCCCATTTTTCATTTAGCCGCTACGTTGAGGGGTGGGGCGTCACGAAAACTCTGGATTATTATTTTTTTATTTTAAAACACTCAAGGTCCCATTGAGCTCCACGGCGAAGGAATTTGATGCATTTTGTCGGCGATGCCCTTGACACCACGATGCAAAGACTGGTGGAAAGATAAAAGGATTTTTCATCGTATACCGTTCACTCTCTCGTACTAATTGTTGGGGATGTGGAGTATGTTTGTTGCGTAACGAATGAAGAGAAGACCAAAGGTATACTCCATCGATGGATAGTGACGAACTATCGTGTTCTTCACCTTGGGCTCGAGGCTCATGACGGGGCTCTCTCAAATGGGATGTATTCGTGGCATAAACACCTCCAGTTTAGAGTTTAAACGGGTAGTTGTAGGGTATCCCTCGTGCGAGGGGGAGAAAAAAAACTACGAGTGCCACTAAACATAGAGATGTCGACACGACCAGTGATGCTATTTTTGGAGTCGTGATGCTGTTAATGGACATTTTCCTCTCTCTTAATCTCATTTTGGAGTGGGATTTTGTTCGTTCCCGTCAACAGTACCATGCAGAGAATATTTTGTCGGTGAAACGACTGGATTGAGATTCATTCAAGTCACACGTGAATGTTCCTCGACTGCATCCTCTTGGAGGATGAGAACTGGTTGTTTACCATCGATTCCTTTTCTATTTTGCTCATCGAGAGGGCGATGACGACTAGTTCATTGGGATACTTGGTGTGACGTTTATTTGAAATAACAAATCGTTGAAACCAATTGCAATTAAAAATTAAGAATCACAGCTAGATGATTATTCAACGAACATTCTTGCTTGAAAATATTGGACGCTGGAGCTCGGAGAATACACCTGCCGGACTTCATTTTGACACACTCACACACACACGCATCTGGAATGGTGTGGGGAACGTGGGTAGTATTTGTTTTTTGTTCTCATTGCTACGATTATTATGAGTGGCTTCAGTAAAGAGGGTTTTTCATTATTATTTTATCTTGAGTTTCGTGTAAAACACAAACGGCGTTCGTCAGCAGCGACCAATCCGCGATGTTTCTCCTTGGATCAACTTCCTGGATAGATGAATATTTTTTTGGGGATCAGTCGCTCGACCATAAACCGCCTGTTGTTTTTCCACCGGAAAACGGATTTCATGTTTTCGAGCCATGTGCGATACCTCTCCTCACATACATTTTGAAAGATTTTTTTTTACGATTTTTAAGATTTTTTTTAGTACTTGGTGTTCAACCATTTCAAAATTCGGCAAACTCCTTGGCGCATTTTTCCGTACCTGAGATTCTAAGTGGCTCCTCCTCGTAATCATCAAAATTACTGGTATCCCCGGGTCCCTTGCACTTTGGTATAAATGGCGCTTCAATCCTCTTCTGGAAGACCGCAATCCAATCGGTACTTGCAAACCACTTGTGTCCTTTGATGTCATTAACACCAGCCTTCAAATTGCCATACCTCTTGGTAAGATCGACTTGCAGTAGATTGCGAAGTAAATCCTTGAGATCGGAGCCAAAATGAGAGGGAAAACGCACTTTACCACTGACAATTTTCTCGTAAATTTGAATGGGTTGATCAGCAAAGAATGGTGGATAGCCAGCAGCCATTTCATAAACTAAAACCCCCAGTGCCCACCAGTCGACGGCCTTGTTGTAGCCCTTGCTGAGGATGATCTCAGGTGCAAGATACTCTGGTGTACCGCACAGTGTCCACGTCCTTCCCTTCACTCTCTTGGCAAATCCAAAATCAGTGACCTTGAGGTACCCTTGTGAATCAATCAACAAATTCTCAGGCTTCAAATCCCTGTAGATAAGATCGAGATAATGCAGGTACTCAAAAGCAAGGACAATCTGAGCAGCATAAAAACGTGAGTGTGGCTCTGAGAAACGTCCCACTTTTCTCAAGTGACTGAACATCTCTCCCCCAGGTACATACTCAAGCACCATATATAAATTTGAATTGTCCTTAAAATGAAAGCGCAGTGACACAAGAAATGGAAAACTTATAGCCTGTAGTATTCTCTTCTCATTCAACGTGTGCTCAACTTGTTTCAACTTTACCACCTTCTGTTTATCAAGTATCTTCATAGCATAATACTCCTTGGCAGGTTTGTGCTGTACAATCATCACTCTACCAAAAGACCCTGTACCCAGTGTCTTGATTCTCTCAAAATCATCCAGACCAGCTGTATTTGTCGGATTTCTCTTCCACTTCTCCTCGAATTCCTCCTTCGCCTGATCGAGAAATTCCTTGACACTCTCAGCGGCGTCAACCTTTTTATTAGCCGTTGCGGCATTGTTGCCCATTTTTCCGCCCGTGCTCGAGCCTGCCAGGGCTCCACGGATATCAAATTTTTTCAGAATTTCTGCGGCTTTTTCTACAACTTTGCAAACGAGAAACTCACTCCCCTAGCAAAGGAGTGTACCTCAGACCTTGAAATTTCTCTCCAAATGATTTTACGACGACAGTGTCGTCAGGTGCTCCTCGCTATCGAGCAGGTGCCAATGCTCCTTCGGACAATAATCAACCCAATAACCACCGAAAATTGATGATTCAAAGTTTAGCACTCCACGGGGGGGCCGACGAAATAGGTCAACACTCCTCGTCCGCGCCTTGCGCCATCTTTCCTGTCAATTACAACCGCCACAGCCGTTCCTCTTGGGGCCACCGACGTCCGTATATCGCGCTTGGCAACGCCAACAATTCCCTCCCGTATCCTGTCACTCACTTGTTAAACCCACAACAATGCATAAGCAATAAGCACTGAACTCCCCTCACTCCAACCGACGATTTACTCAAAATTCACCCGCTTTTATTTTTTTGGTCACTTGACTTTTGTGCGAATAGACCTTTTAATGACACACACTCGCGTACTTATTTTTTGGTGGAATAAAACCAATTAACTTAACCCTCGGAGCCCGCTCCAAGCCGAGGACGTCGGCACACTACTACTGTACACTCAACTGACGGCCACCACGAACGCTACGAGCGCGTCACCGCACGACGTTCACCCACACAACCGCATGACAGTTACTTTGACAATTGAGTGGAGTGGCTCGTGCGTTTTATGAGCGACAACTCCTCGATTATTTTTTCCCACCGTTGGCTTTTTTTCAGGTGAAGAGTGCGGAGGGTTTCTCCTTAAGATGGCGGCTCCCAGTCGTCTCTCCGGTTTTCGGAGTAATGTGAAAAATGGATGAGAGCGAGAAACACCGTGCGCGCACACACCTAAACCACCCACCGTGCCAAACAGCCACTGCTTCGTTCAACCGAGTCGATTTATTAGTTCGCGGGGGCTGAGGGAGGTGGGGCTGACTGCTGGGACTGTTTTATCGGAGGGGGGACTCGATGGGTAACAGGCGATGGGGCCACCAAGTGGGGGACAGGGGAATCACGGATTTGAATGGTTTTAACCGTCGTTCTGCTAACATTCTGTCCCTTTAAATGGCTGGCGTTGCACGCTGCTGAGAGTATCGGAGTAACTGATATTTTTTAAATTGAGCTATTGGTCGAAGACAAGAGTGTTGAAGTGGAGAAGATTTGAGACTGTTATTTAGTCCTTTGAGGAGTCAAATAACTTTGGTGATTCATGATTTTTGGGGGAAGAATTGCCTGACGAACGCCGACCGTTGGGGAAGCCATTGTCCCACAACGAGAATTTTAGGGGGATTTTTCTCGGTTGACGAGGTTTCTTTGAGTAGTGAGGGGTAAAGGAAGAGGAAGATGTCTCATTTAAGATATCAGAAGGAGCTGAGCAATCTAACCCGCATGGACGATGCCATCAAGGGGCCACTGCCTCGGTGGCAGAAAAAAGGACTCGATGCTTCAAATTCAAGGTAATGTACGATTCTCCGGGCGTTTATTATTTTGGGATGAGGGAGACAAAATTGAATGATTTTTATGGCTTTTTGAGATTATTTTATGAGGTTTTGTGATGAAAATTGACTCCCCTTAACACATTTTTACGTCACAGGCATTAATTTATTATTTCAGCATAAATATCAGTATGAATAGCTCTCGTATGAACGCCTCGTCGATGAGTCTAGTCCCCGGAAAGACTCCGACAAAGCGTGCCGAAATGAAAACGAAGAAGACACCGAATAAAAACGCTAAGAAGTCTCCAAGTGAGTATTAATACTCCAAACCCTTCCACTTCTAATTTATTGGAAGTAGTATATTTTATAGAAATTCATTAGAATTTACTTCATTAACATTTTTTTTTTATTTCTCCCAGTCAAATCTTTTACAGAAAATGAAAAATAATGATTGATTAAATTAACGCAATAGAAATTAAAAAATCAATTTTCTATTTGAATCAAATTGATTTAATGAGTGTTTGAAACATGATTTTTAAAAAATCTAAAATATGAATTTTGGAATATTTTAAGAGATTATTCAGACCTTTTGTATCAAATTTAATCGGAATGGGGAACGATCCACTGGTCTATTAATTGCCAATGAATTCCCAAGACTAGAAACGCAATTACAGAAAAGAAATATAAGGAAATGAATTCCTAAGAGAAATCCCCATTCTCATAAGAACACCCTTAGAAGATGTGGAAATTCATTCAAATAAACAGGAACAAAAATTCCAGGTCGTACAAACGCAACAACACCAGCGAAGACTCCCAGTGGTGGAGACAGGTTCATACCTTCCAGATCGACGACGAACTTCGACTTGGCGTACCACAAGCTGCAGCAGCACGCCTCCGACCCAGACCACGACAAAATATCGACAAGTGAGGCCTCGAGCCCCTCGAAGAAGGAGATGCAGCGTTTGATAAGTGAGAACCTCCACGGCGGTGACATCAACAGCATGAGAGTCCTCTCGTACCAGAACAAGGCCCCAGAGCCCCCGGAGGGCTACCAGAACCCTTTGCGAGTGGTTTACAGCCAGTCAAAGACCCCAGCCAGCATCAAGACATCAAGCAGGTACATCCCCCAGGCCCCAGATCGCATCCTCGATGCGCCTGAGATTGTGGACGACTACTACCTCAATCTGGTCGACTGGTCCTCCAGCAATGTTCTGGCTGTGGCCCTTGGTGGCAATGTTTACCTGTGGAACGCTGGCACTGGCACGATCGAGCAGCTCTTCGAACTCGAGGGGAATGACTATGTTTGCTCGGTCGCTTGGATTCAGGAGGGACCGTATTTGGCTGTTGGATGCACCAGTGGTAACACTGAACTGTGGGATTGCAGTCAGATGAAAAGGGTCAGAATTATGAATGGACATGCTGCTAGGGTGGGTTCACTCGCGTGGAATGCACATATTCTCACCAGTGGATGCAGGTAAGGTGAAGAATGGAATAAACAATTGATTCATTTCAAAAGTTTCATTTTTTTTCTATTGGAATGCCTTTCAATACTTGCATAAAACGCGCATTCAAACCCCATTTGTTTAATCCTCAAAAATAGAAATTTAATGTACTAGAATACATTTTGTTTCATCAAAGAAATTAGAAAGCCTTTTAGAATCTTGGAGAAGATTCATAAAATCATGGAAGATTTGCAATTTCTAAAGATTATGATTTTTTTGAGGAATAAAAATCTCACTCAATTTTATTTTCCATACTGCTCCTTACCTTTTCCTTGGACCCTTCCACAAATTTGTAAAAGTGAAAATCACAAGGGAAAAATGCCGTCCACGACTTTTTTTTACTCGTGTCAAAAAACCAGGGATGCCCACCAATCTTCCGATTCGTCAATATTAAAAGAATTTCCGACTTACATTGACCAAAATTTAAATATACTAATCGAAATTAAAAAATAGTAAAATAATTGATAATCTAAATTTCCGATTGACGATGAATTAAATATTTAATAATATAGAACTATAAATTTTCTATTAAGTAAATAATACTAAATTTCTTGTAAGAGATCTCTGATTATCCAAATTATCGTCAGGTTTCCTAACTCAACTACTGATTAATAAATAATTCGGTATTTGAATATTTAAATTGATGATTACTTCAATAATTAAAATTTAAGACACTAACTAATTGACTACCTAATAATTTAATTATAACTATAATTAATGGATATGGCTATCACTGGAAAAAAGCCTCGCTATCTCCACACGAATAAAAACCCTGTGGCATTAAATAAACTATTGTCCCTCTGATTTATTCCAGAGCTGGAAAACTTGGGCATCACGACGTGCGCCAACGTGACCATCTAGTCTCATCAGTGCACGCCCATGCCCAGGAAATCTGCGGATTAAAGTGGTCGACGGACGGAAAATACCTAGCCAGTGGTGGTAATGACAACATGCTCCAGATATGGCCAGCAATAGGCGGCACAAATCAGGCGCAAACGAGACCGATTTACACCATGAACCAGCACCAGGCTGCAGTGAAAGCCCTGGCCTGGTGTCCATGGCAGACGAATGTTCTGGCCAGTGGCGGAGGAACCGCTGACAGAACAATTCGCTTCTGGAACTGCAACACCGGTGCCTGCCTCAACTCCGTCGACACCCAGTCCCAAGTGTGCTCCCTGCTCTGGTCCCCGACGTACAAGGAAATCGTCTCAGGGCATGGTTACGCGCAGAATCAACTGACCATCTGGAAATACCCGAATATGACGAAAGTGGCTGAACTGACGGGTCACACAGCTCGTGTTCTTCACCTGGCGATGTCTCCAGATGGTACCACAGTCCTCAGTGCTGGGGCTGACGAGACCCTTCGCCTGTGGAAGTGCTTCCAGCAAGACCCCACGAAGAAGAAGAAGGACCACTTCGAGCCCAAATCCGTAGCATCAAAGTTGAAGCAATCAATTCGATAAATACAAATTCCTCATTGTGACGATAGATTATTTGTCTTTTATAATTTATATTTTTTTATGACTGAGTAGATTATGATGGAACTTTTTGCTTGCTACGTACACTACATTTTAGATAATAAAGAGATTTTGAAGACAGTGTGTGGGTAACTGTAAATTTCTTATTTTCAGTCATTCGGAATAGGAAAATTAATTTGCGATTGAATGGTGATTGATATCGGAAGCGTGTTTGGCACATGTTCATTGTGATATCGATGCTGATTGCTCAGGAATTGTGAGAATTATTTTTCTATTGCACGAAGTAGACGATTTTGTAATGACGATGTTGAATATATATAGATTGTTAAGCATGATATGATTTTCGTTATTCGATAGCCGTGAATTCACACCTGTTTGCAGAAGAAAAATAAGAAGAAAAACCACTTTGGGTCCCAATTCGTTGTATCGAAGTTGAAGGAACAATACTGATTTGTATTCGATAAATACAATTTCCTCATTGTGACGAGAGATAATTTGTCTTATAATTTATATTTTTTTATGACTGAGTAGATTATGATGGAACCTTTTGCTTGCTACGTACACCACATTTTAGATAATAACGAGATTTTGAAAATAGTGTATGGATAATTGTAAATTTGGTATTTTCATTTATTCGAAATAGGGAAATTAATGTTTGAAATTGAATGGTGGTTGATATCGCCAGTGTTAATTGTGGTATCGATGGTAATTACTCAGGGATAGACGATTTTGAAATGATGATGTTGAATATACAGAATGTTAAGCACGATACAGTTTTTGTTATTCTATACCCGGGAATTCACACCTGTCCGTAGTATTGGGTGCGAGTCCCCACTACCTTCTCTTCCAAAGGCTTTTCCCCCACTCCAACAGACGCTGAGGTACGCAGGGATAATCTCAGGTGTGCGATCAGGTTTCGGGGAAGTGAATTTAACCCCTGGAAGGCTTGCCATGGAAATGCAAGTGAAATGACGGTTTTGAGGGCCCAAAGGGGTTTGTGCGATTTTACATGATGAATGGGGGTGAGAGGAAGAGTTCGTCGAAACCTGAGGACCGCCGGGACGGCCCTGTTTCAGCGAACGACAGTGAAAAACGCGATGAGGACGAGCATTCTTGGTGGGCAAGTGACAGTGGCTCGAGCACTGGATCGTATTACTCTGACACTGAGAGGTGGTGAATCAGATTTGAATAGTAACATGAAATTCTTGAGAATATTCACGTACTTCTTCGTTCAAATCGATGATTACATTTAAGTCGCATTTGATTTTAGTATTTAAACTTTGAAAAATTGAATTTTCTTCTTCATTTTGAATCGTGAAAAAAGTTTTCAAGGTCAGAAAAGAATAAAATTTAAATAAAAATGAAAATAAACTTCAAATTTTTTATGATTACGAGCCTGTTCATGAAGAAGTTATCAGCGATCAATTTTATTACACCCTAAAAATATTTTTTTCTTATTTGCAATTTTCTCGAAATTGAAAATTGAAATTTGTGAGAGTTTAAAATTTTGTTTGCATCTATTTATGAACATTTTTGAATGGCACTTATTATCCATGAATTATTTTTAATTTTTGTCACGCAATTTCATCGACAATTTCATTTATTAGAAATTTTTACTTATTTATTTATTTAAATTATTTTTGAATGATTTCTGATCTTTTACAATGATTTTATGAATGAATTTTCACGGTCTTAAGAATCTTAAATTTAGAAATCATTCATTATTACTGGAAACTCGTGAATGACGTTCTTTGAAATCAGCTCAATCGTCGAGTGGGAGTCAGCGGTAGGACCCACGGGTGAGGTATTTTACATCGAGTCCTCTCCAGAGACGCAGAATAACAATGACAGGCCGTACAATGAGCAGTTGGAGTCACCGCCGCCAGAATTGATGAGACGTCGTAGCACGAGGGCCGGAAAACTAATGAGACTGATAAGGCGCCGGGAGAGTAAAAGATACAGCACGAGAATAAAGAAATCGAAGAATGGGGTGTCGAAACAGAGTGAGAGTGGCGTGACGCAGAAGGAGGGGATCGGCAATAAAGAAGTTAAATTTCAGGATTATCAGGTAAAATATTCTGAATTTAAATTCACGAAAGATTAATTCTTCACTCGCAAAATTTCAATCTTAAAACTATGAAAATGAACTAGAATTGACACATTTTGTTCTTGAAATGGTCTGCACTATTTGAGAAAAATAGAAATCTCATGGACAGTTGATTCGTAAATATCAGGAGAATAAGATTAAATTCCATTTCGGGGAAATAAATAATAAAATTCTAGATTCCAATTTTGGAATGGCAAAAAGATGAGAATTTTCCGGCTTAATTGAATTTTTAATAAAAACGGACATATTTGGTAGGAAATTATCCTGAATTTTCAGTTAAAGAAAAATTTCAGAATATATTTACCTGAATTTTCCGGATTTCTTTGCATTTTCATGGAATAATTGAACTGAAACTTACAGTTTCCATGCATTTTTCCGTAAAATTTTGAATTTTCAATGAGGAAATTGAAAATGCCTTGAAATTTCAGTGAAATTATAATATCATAAAAATTTCCAAGAAGTGTACCAGAAATTTCGGACGGTTGATTAGTAAATTTCAGGAGAGTGACGTTAACTTGCATTTGGGGAAAAGAAAAAAGAGATTTCGATTCTGAGGTTTTCGATTTCAATGAAAATTCTAATTTTCTAATAGCGAGAACACGAAAATTTTCCGACTTACTTGAATTTTCAATAAAAGCATGAATATTTAATACCAAATTATCCGGAATTTTTCATTAATTGAAAAATCAAGAATATACACCTGAATTTTTCCAATTTCAACAAATTTTCACGCAATAATTAAACCGAAATTTAGTTTCCATAGAGTGTTGAACTTCCAATGACAAAATTCCTCGAAATATCACTGCTAAAACTCTAACGTGATAAGAATTCCCAAAAAACGAGCCAAAATCTTCTCCCAAAAATGCCCACCCCTGCAGATGTCGAGAATCCACGAAAAAATACCAAAAGCCCTGGCCGCGCCTTAATCCTCTATTACTCAATTCACCCAGGCCGGTGAGATCCGCGAAGTGATGCTGTGGGTGGACCCCGACAAGCGCCACAAGCTGGGTCGCCGAGCGACCCTCTGCGAGGCGTTCCTCGGCATAAGTCCGGGGGACTTCTCCGACAAAGTTCGCGTCATGGTAGCGGGCTTCATCCCCGACTGCGAAGCCATGAAGAACAAGAACATAAAAATAGGCGACTGGTTGCGCAGCATAAACTCCCAGGAAGTGACGTGCAACAACTTGGAGCGCCTTCTCTCGGAGCTCACGTCCCCCACAACCATCAAGCTGGAGCTGCAGCGAGTGGCCGGAGTGGAGGTGACCAGCGCAGAAGTGCCCCCCTCGAGCATTCCAAAACAAACGGCGCTAGTTCGTCGCCTCGTCGACAGAGAAGAAACCAAGAAACTGATGGAGTCCCTGCTGGACTACTCCTTCGGAGTAATTTACCTGCAGACCTCTGGGCTCTCCGAAAGCGGTCCAGAGTTGCAGGGGGTGATGTACACCTACCCAAGGTCAGAGAGCAAGACGCACTCGATTTTGTGCTCAGCTAGAGGCGCCTTCATAACCCTGAACCACATGCTGCCTGAAACCATTGGATCTCAACCGATCAGCACGACGATATCAGTCGGCAGTGAAGACATTCACATTCTGTACTCCCCCCAAGGTGACGAGCTCTTCCTCATGGCGATCCCGGGACGCTGGTATACCCTGGAGGAGTCCCTGGAGCTCATCACCGAGACGACGAGAACTCTGGAGTTCACGTACCAGAGTCTGACCAAATGCTTCAGCAAAGAGGATCATCATCAGGCGCTGGACCACCTCTTCTGCCTGATCTTCACGAGTCTTCTGAGGTTGAGAACTGAAGAGCCGACTGGAGAAGACGTTCCCCTGGAGCTTCAACCAGAGAGCAGAGGGAAATGCGAGTTCGAGGGGGTTGTTGGTGCTGCGCAGATGATTAATTTGCCTAGAGACGCCCAGATTCAGATTGACGCGGCCCTGAACGAGATGGAGGCCATGGACTATCGAGACTGGAACGAGGATCCGATGGACTGCCAGAGGCTGTACACAATTATTGGCTCGTGCCTGTACCACAAGAGCTATCTTCTCGCTTCTCATCTACCCAAGGATGACTTGATCGATGTCCATTCGTTCGTCAGGCAGAATGGACTGCTGAATCTTGTGGAGAACGAGGCGACCAAGTCCCTAGTTCTCTGGAGAACGGTCTTCCCTTCTTCTTGTGGGAGGGGGGATGAGGGGGAGTCCAGTGGGGCTGCTGATGGCAAGTGGTTTCTCCTGGTCGTTGGGTTTGGGTTTGAGCTGTTAGCTGTCGTCTTGGAGAGCGGGGGCTGCACTGCCCAACTCGAGGAGAACGAGGGGCCTGATGTCTTCTATGTCGAGGAGGCACAGGAAACTCTTAAGCACATTCAGAAGATCGGCATCTCGACTCTTGCTGCCAAGTGGATCTCAGCTAATGCCAGGCCGGAAACTGTGGATATTCAGGAGCGGAATAGTGTTAGGAGTTCGAGCACTATTGCGGAGAATTTGTTGGGGCTTATCAAGCCGCCGGAGACTGGGAGTAGTGGGGCTAAAACGTATGCCAGTCCTGTGGGGGGAAAGAAGATTCAGGAGGTCACCTCGATTTTGAAGAAACGGAGTCCCGAGCAGAGTCCTGTCATGTCTGGATCAGGTAATGCAATTCCAACTTTTTTTTGTTGAATAAAATCGGTAGCAAAACATTGAAATTGCAGATTTTACGACGGGAAAACGAGGATTTACCAATTTACTTAATCTTAGTAAAAACATGGATATTCAGTACCAAATTAAGCTAAATTTTTCAACTAATTTAAAATTAAAGAATGTTTACCCAAACTTTCTTAATTTCTATTAATTTTCATGGAATAGCTGGAGTAGAATTTACAGTTTTCACAGATTTTTCCATCAAATTTCAAATTTTCAATAACGAAATTCCTTGAAAGTTCAATGCAACTATAACGTGTCAAAAATTCCCAAAAAGATTAGGTCAGCCAAAATTTTTTAATATTACAGTTCAATTCAATTTTACCATTCTTTTAAAAAATTTCAGTCATTAATCTCATTAATGTTTTTGGTCCCAAAAACAAATCATCCATCATTTTTATTTAACTCCAATCTCATATTTTTTTGTTCCAGTTTACTCTCTTCAAACGTCGGAGGACTCCATGAGTCAGGGGACTGGAGCTGTTTCTGAAATGAGTGACGAAGCTGCGCCGATATTGGGGAGGCGTGCCACAAGGGAGAGGACTCTAGCACCTTCCAGGCCATCTGATGACAGTGATTCTGACGTCGAGATTTACAGGGTGAGAAAATTAATTTCTCGTTTAACAAAAGAAAACTTCAATTTATTGGGATTTTAAAAATTCACTGAATCGAGGTAGTCATTCTCATTCAGCCATCTATCTTGTTTCTTAAATTGACATTTACTCTGACTCATTTCTCCCCCAGAATGACAGCCAAACATGTTCAATGGACGTATCTGACATCCGCGAGAGTCTATTGAATCAAGCAGAATACATAGCCCCAACAAAAATAACAGCCGGAGATAAGAACTGTCTCCTGCATTACGTCCACCTAGACGCCCTCGAAGGCGTCCTCCTGTCCTCCAGGACCATCGAACAACCGGATAAAAATTCTGAGATAATAGCGACGTTCAACGATTGTGCCCACAGCATCCACAGACTCCTGAACAACGCAGTTAGATTCAAAAAAATGCTGAATGAGGACGTGGATAAAACTGCAATCAACAAGAATCTCGTGGCTATCAAAGAGCATGGGGTGCTCTTCGAGTGTGACAACCTGAGTTTTTGGGTCGTTGGGAGGTTGTATGCAGCCCCCCAGGCCAAAGAATTCTACGTGTGCTACGAGGACACTGTTCCCCAGAACCTCGTGGAGATGGCATTCAGATTGAACATAAACTGGAGCTGACGATTTTTCATGCAGGAGAATTTATAAGACATGGATTGTAATTTATGTTTTCCTTTGACTGTATATAGATGCAAATAAGTGAATAAATCTAATAAGTGAATTGCCCTTGATGAGGAGTGGAATTACGATTGTTCTTGGATTTAGATTTTAAAATGGCAGTGAAGAATGAGTAAATTCGATTTTTCAATCAATTTGCCTAATTTATTCATTATTCAATATTAAGTTATTTTAATAAATTGTATAAAATCATTTGGCTTATTCAAAAAGTGCTAATAAACTATCGAAATATGTTGCCGGCAACAGAGTGAATAAAAATGATAAATTCGTTTAGATAGAAACTTGATGATAATTTAGAAATCCTTAATCATCATCGTTCAGATCCGAATCAGATTCTGTCTCAAGATCAGCGTAATACATTTTGGCGTCTACATCGAGGCTCGCTGAGGAGATTCTTCGGGGCTCAGTTGATGTTGGAGGCTTCTGAGGTACTTTGAAGACTACTGAGGCACCGGCCATTTTACTACCGTAGTGGCCGGCCCAGAAGAGACTGTCCTTGCCAGTGTGCTGGAATATTATTTTTCTCACACCTGGACCGTAATTTTCGAACTCGTGAGACACCTGCAGCAATCGAAATGATGAATGCCTGGGATGATCGAGGGAAGATGGGGGAAATACTTACGTGATGCCATTCATTCTGCTTTGAGCCGTCTATTGCATCGAAAAACTGGAACCTGTCGATCTCTTTTCTTTTGTCGTTGACTAGGATTACTAGGAGTTCGTAAATTGCTGGACAATCCCATCGGGCACTGTACCATTCGCCAACCTGGAATAACAATAAATCAATAGCTGTTTTTTCTAAGAAATTAATTATTTTAATGACCAATAATTTTTAGCTAATTTGTCAATGAAAATGCGTGAGACTGATTCAAGAAAAATTCATGGATTCAAATTACATTTCGAAAAAAAATACTTTTTTAAGTATTTCCCAAAGATTAAAATCAGGGAATAAAAATTTAAATCTCCAATGGGGGGGGGGTAAAACTAGGATTAAATGGGGCTTAAATGGAAACTCTGATATTTAATTATAGATGTTGAGAAACATTTCAGTGAGAAAAAAAGGCTCAAGTCTTTGATAAATAAAATAGCTGTTTTTAAAGAAAATAACGAACAAAAATGGTTTTATGGCTTTATATTGGATAGAAAAAATTTATGAGAAATGTTTAACCGAAACAGTTGGCTGAATGATGGAAAAAATGCCAAAGTTTTTACCATTATGG